AAGATTTCCTTTGTTGCCTTTTTCAAACAAATTACTGTGATTTGTTCTTGTCAGGGCAAATAAGCACCTAGCTGTTGACGTGGCTGTGTCACCAGCTGGTGTGGGTCCTCGATTTGGCGGTAATGGATATTAAATCTGAAATAACAGTATGAATTTAATGGGAAAAGGTTTAATGAAAAAGTAGGAGAAGGTGAAAAGGAGCACAGCTCTGACCAAGACCCAGCCATCCCCTAACGAAGGAAAGTAAGAGAAGATGCAGGAAGCAGGCAGGGCCGCTGGGCTGCGAGGGGGATCAGAGTGGCCCATTCACAAAGAAGGGAGACTGATGTTGTGGGCTGGGCTCTGGCTGGCCGTTACCAGCCAGGGTTTGGTAGCCCTGGCAGAGTCCTTATGACTTGAGGGTCGGACCCCTGAGGTGGCGGTCTCTGCTGGGGACAGGCTCAGGCCTGTGAGGCTCTGCTAGAATCCAAGGTGAACGTAGCCTTGGGCACTGGAGATTTCTGGGTGTAGCTGAATGTCCCTGTAAATCCCTTACCTTGGTGTCCTCAGTCTTACAGGGTAGGGTAGGTAAAGTTAGGGCTCATAAACCTTGCCTGCCAGCTTTTAGGCAAATGCTCCCTAAATGACTGATACGCCTATGTGCAGAACTAAGAAAGGATTTGACCCAGAATTTTACAAAACAAAGGTCAGGCTTTGCTCTGCTTCTGGTTAGCTTTTGGGCATCTGTAGAGCCCAGTGAAGAGTCACAGTTTTTAGAAAAAAAAAAAAAAAAAAATTGCTTTTAAGCCCTTGACTGCCTCTGAAGAAAACATAATTCATACATTTAAGGAGTAGCAGGTTAGGGACCCAGGAGTTTGTCCTCTGTTACACAGGGAGGGACGAACTTCTGGAGCCTTCATGTGACCCAGTTAACCTCAGCTCATACCCAAGAACAACTGGGCCAAATTAATACTGGCCGTAAGTTATCCTAGTAAGCATGAAATATGCTTGCTACCACAAAGCACTTTCTTTTATGACCACCAAATTTTTATCTTTGCACTGAATTGATATCAAAGCTCTCAGGTAATGTAAACAAAGTGAAATCATAGGTGCAAAGCATGAGTTAAGGTGCCAACAGCTCTCCCATACAGCTGATCATTTGGACTTTCTTCTTTCCTTTCTCTCTCTTCTTTTTCTCTTTTCCTTTCTTCTGTTGCTCTTTTCTTTTCTTTCTTTCTTTCTTTTCTTTCTTTCTTGCTTGCTTGCTTGCTTGCTTGCCTGCTTGCTTGCCTGCCTGCCTGCCTGCCTGCCTGCCTGCCTGCCTTCTTTCTGAGACAGGGTTGCACTATGCAGTTCAGGCTGGCCTTGAACTCATGGCAGTCCTCCTGCCTCAGCCTCCCAAGTGCTGGGGTTACAGGCATTGTAAGCACCACAACACCCAGCTTGAAATTTTTTACTTGAAGTTTGTTGGAAAGTTTCTTATGTTTCTTCCTTTTGGGACAATTTTGTACTTAGTTTAAAAGATTTTTATACTTTTTTTTGTATTTTTAGTATTCACATGAGAAATTGATCAAGTATATTTTGGAGAGATTTCTAAAATAATTGTGTTGAAGACAAAGGTTAGTCTGTTGTTTTAAATAGGTGTGACATTCAGGAAAGGCAGGTAGACCAAGGAAGAATATTTTTTATCAAGAGTTCGATACTCATTGGGAATGTTTTTTTATATGTCCTTTTGTTAGAATGTCAACAGAAGCCATTGGCTGAGTGCTATTGGTAAATAGGCGTTGGGTAAAATTAATGTAGTCATTTGTCTTGGAGATTCTGTGAAGAACAGATGCCCCCATTTAAGTAGTAGGAGGAAGAAAAATGCAGCATAATTTTAATGTGAAGCTGCTTCTTTTTAATGAAGTTGAATTAAGTCTGCTAAAACTGGGAACACAAAAACAGGTTTCTCTGGCATGGAGATACACCCTCGTTCTCACAGGGCTCTGTGATAAGCTTTCCCTGGCGTTTCTTCCCTGGACTCACATTAACAAACTCAGGATGGTTTGCAGAAATCCTAAGGGGAGATTGGAGCCCAGGACGGAGCTGGAAGATTCATCCACAAATGTGTTTATGTTTTGATCAGTGGGCCAGATAATTAGTTATTGCAGTTATTTGTCCCATGGATCTGAAACTTTGTCATACTGACCAGGTTCATCAAAGTAGATGTACATGGTACATACGGATATTTCAATTATTTTGGAATTCTCTTTTCTTGTTTTAAGCTTAATATAAAATTTAAATTTCTGGCTGTGGTGTGCTATTTTTATAGGATGCTAAAAACATTTAAAAATGTTGCTACTGTTTTCAAAGAGTTCAGTCAACAATTCGCTTGATTAACAAATATTTCTTGAGCTCTTTTTGTGACTAATACGTTGTCGGTCTGCTGGCAGAAAGGAAGATCAGTGAGGAGCCTGAGGCACAGTTTCTGCATTCCAGACTACCAGACTTCCAGAACAGACACCAAATCGCTAGTTGTTGAATGATACAGTGCAACCAGTACATTAATATAGTACTCATCGTTTGTAAATGAGTTTAGAGAAGAAAGCCTGCGGATTGTTGTTCTGCTCCCTGTTGTATCTCTGTAGGCTGGAAGACTTGCAGGCATGTAGTGGATTCTTGGCACACTTTTGTAGAATGAATGGCCCAATGACCACGTAGTGCGCATTCAGTTAGAGTAATGGGAATCTGAGGAAGGAGCTTCACCTTTGGTTGGGCCAGTCAGGAAAGGCTTCCTGGAGCAAGTGGGATTTTAACTGGTGAGAGAAAGGAAGAGCCATCAAGAAATAGGAAATGATGTGGAATCTTCTAAAGACGTGTTAGAAGTTATAGATGTAGCACTTGTGGGCTTGTAAGGAAAATTTTGAAAAGTCACCCTTGTTTCTCTGTTGAGTGGAGAGTGAAAGGGATATTTTAGGAAACTTAATCTAGGCAATTTGTGTCAGAAGCACTGAAAAAGGGGACATCAGAAGCACAGATTGATGAAGCTTAGTAATGAAAAGAGCTGATGAAGGAAAGGACTGTGTCCAAGATGGTGGTGATCCTGAGTTTCATTGACTGGATAATAGTGAAAGCACGAACAAAAATAAGGCAATCAGAAGGGAAAGTAGCATTTTGGGGAAGATTTTTATATTTCAAATCTCTTCATGTTTAAAGTAACGGGCAGTTCAGTGTGGACTGGTAGAAATCACAGAAACGCATAATGCTGCACTGGAGAGAGATCTTGGACATTAATTAGACTCAAATACAGCCTTGTTATTTTGCCAATGAGAAAGGTGACTAGGTTTTAGAGCCCCCAACAACACAGACCAGAATGGCAAATACAGAGCCATTTACAGTGTTTTAAAAGATCTTTGAATAGTGGTTCTTCGTTTGCAGTGCTTTTCTTCCCTTTTAAATTTGAAGAACCCCTTATACAAATAGTTGCAGCTATCATCTATGTCATATAAACACTAAATTTTAGATTGAGGTGAAGACCTTTAAATAATGGACAGTGTACTCATTTATTCATCTGAATGAAAACAATCCGAACTTGCCCTCCTAGTAATACTAGTAATACTAGTAATACTAGTAATGATTTTTTGGTCTGCCTTTTCGTAATGCCTTTGCGTGTTTATGGTTAGTAGGTTCTGTGTGGTTAGCAGTGAGTTGAAGTTTACTCTCAGGTCTGAACGCTGCAGATGTGCTTAGACTCCTGGTCATGGGTCTTGGGTGGCCCTCCGTTGTCAGCCTCTCTCCGTGGGTCATAACCTGATCTTTCTTCTGCCTGGGTTGCCACTAAGAAGGATGGGATGGGTATAAGCGGAATGGGTCTCAGTTGTCCATCACAGACAAGTGATAGAGCTCTGAAGGAAGCGAGGAGCCAGGTCTCGCCTTTGGCATATCTGCTTTTGTTCTTCAAATCCTGTTACATGTGAGGATAGAAAATAGTGTCCACCTTCCAGCTCAGCCCCCTTGTGCCTGCCTGCTCCACCCGACTTGCAGGTGCCGTACTGGCTTTGCCTTCCAGAGCCCATGGGTGATCTGTTAAAGATCACCATGCTGTTCTGATGTGAATGTGTGTGAATTTAATGACTTCTTTGCCTCTAGTCATCTGCCTTTCTGGGCCTACAATTCAAAGGAGGGAGGCGGGATGCTGAGTGGACGTGGGGAAGAGCCCCTTACTTCCTTTCCCTGGGAGAAGGGAAGTGTGGAGGGAGTGGCTGGGAATGAGGAGCGTGAACATGGGTGGGAGCCTGCTCTTCCGTAGTGATAGGAAATGGGGGACTCAGTACTTCAACCCGGCCCACTGCTAGCAGGGGAGCAAAGTGACCATAAAATAGTAACATCAGGTCATTTACTGTCACAATCCTGACTCTTCCTTGAAGAATTTCCTGTTCCTGCATGGCAGTGATAGCACTGAAAGGAAAAGTGTTGGTTTTCCAATTTATTTTAACCTAGTTGCTGGCGGTAGAAGCTTTAACTTTGTAACTGTCTTCAAGGCAGTGCTGGTAGTTTTAACACTAGCCCGTCTGTAGGCCAAGCATTTGACAATTTAGTGATGGCAGCTAAATCTTGCGTGCCTCGGTTGTGGCACTGCAGAGGGAGAAGCAGACCTAGGCTCCTTGGCATGTTCACAGGGCTGAGGCTCTAGGTGGTGGGCACATGCGCTTCCGTAGTAACAATTAGCCTTGGTTGAGAGAAGAACAAAGCTTCCATGTAGAAATGGGAAAGTCCTGGTATTGCTAGCTCGAGTATTCCTTTCAGACCGGGACTAATGAACTCCAGGTCAGCCTGAAGTCTTCAGGAATAGGCAGGCTCCTGCGTCTACAAACGCCGTATGAAAAGTTGCCCCCTGTTCTTGGAGTTAACGATCTAATATGCCAGACTGAAGGACACTTGCTCTTTTAAGCTGACTGAACCAGCTGGCCCCTGCATGGCTGAGTTGCTGTGGGGATACCAGCTCAGTGACCTCTCTTCTCCTCTGTTGTGGAATGTAGGTGACAAGAATGGAGGGGAGCCGGATGACGCTGAGCTAGTAAGACTGAGTAAGAGGCTGGTGGAGAATGCGGTGCTCAAGGCTGTGCAGCAGTACCTGGAAGAAACCCAGAACAAAAAGCAGCCAGGGGAGGGCAGCTCTGTGACAGCCGAAGAGGCCGATCGCATCGGCAATGACAGTGATAACAGGAAATGAGACCGGAAGTGGGGTCCAGCCGCTCTGTGCAGTGCATCCCGCCCTCCCTCTGCTAAGCCTGGACGCTGACTTGCCGTGTGCTCTTTAAATGTCTCTTGTCTTGCCCAAGGAGACGGCCTAACACTCACGATCGATGTGTTTGCGCTTCTGAAACACAACAGAAGTGAAGCAGAATGCTTGGGACTAGCAGAGGAAATCAGTTTATGGAAGAAGAATGGGCCCTGTTTCCCTTGCCTTCAACCATGAACAGGGAGGGGACTCAGGTTCCGCCTGCCTCCTGGAACCAGCGGCTGGGAGAGGCCTGGCCCTGAGCGCAACACTGCCGCTTCTATTACATGGGGCATTCGACTACTTTACCTGAGGCCAAACTCACACACAGCTATCAAGTGCAAAGTTCAGTTCATCACTGTCAAAATTATCGTGGTCCTTAATATTTCGTGTTTGACCTCCGCCTGCTGTCACTATGCACTGATCTTCATTTCCAGTAATTTATGTTCTATGTAAATGATATATTTTTGGCAAAATGCAATCTTTTCTATAAAATGTGGGCAACATTTTAAAGGTTTTTTTTTAAACCTCATTTTGATAAGTCAGTGTGCCATGTTTAATGTTTTTCATTGACATTTGTACTTTAAATGTATTATATAATTTTTTCCCCTTAGGCAAGAAACCTATTGGAACCCAAGACTTAATTAATGAAGTTTTGGAACAAGAAAGGATGGGTCTGAAGTCCAAAGTGAAACAGATAAAGGAACTTCTATTAATGCCTGAGACTCAGGCCAAAATTAGGAGGGAGCTTTTTGAAGGAAGACTCATTAATGACAGTAACCCAGCAAATGGTGTTGATTTCAGCGCAACTTTGACATAAACCTTTCCTTGCTGTTACGGTAGCATAGTTTATAAAATTTCTTCAGCTTGTTACATAGCTTGTTGGTAAACACCAAAGTGTTCTGACAGTTTATATATAACAGCAAACCAATATGGGGTGAGAAATGAGCAATTTCTTGCCAAAGAAAACTGATTTTGTCCTATTATTTTCTGAGCTGATCTTGTGTTTTAGGACATTTGTTTCTGAAATAATGAGTCATTACATAGAAATGACTTTTTAATGAGCTGTTGTGAGATGTTCATCAGGTTCTTGCAGATAAGAAAACAGCGTGAAAAACCATATGCAGACAAAATCAAACAAAACCAACAACAGTATTTCAAGTGTCACTTGCCTCCTGTGGACAAGATTGTTTCTAAATCAAAAGAAACGTCGTCCAGGTGTGTCTACATGTAGTGTTACTTTTAATGAGAATTTGAATGTTTTTGAACATTAGTACTTGAATGAACATTTATAAATGTAATAATTGCAATCACTGGTTAAGAGTGTTTTATAATAGCCATGTGTATTACTTTTCACTAATCAAAAATGTAGTTTGCCTTGTCATTTCTTATTGGATAAATGTTTAGGATTTTCATTTTCTACTTTTCTGAAGCTAACCCCTAGGTCTTACTGTATCCCTTGTACTTTGAATTTGTTTGCACTGATTCGTTTTTAAAGAGCATTCTTGAAAAATTTCTCCCCATGTGGTGATTATTAATAACAGCTTTTTCTATAGTCACTGTAAAACTGCTGCTACTAATAGATCAGGACGGAGGGGGAAATGACTGGAGATCAAGTATGTAATCATTCAAATATAAAATCCAGTTTGCTCATGGATTTTAGCTATTTTTTCACGAGTAAATTATACTACATTTATTTATAAATGAGTTTATGCATTTTCATGCCTCTTAATAAATGTTTTGTTTTCCCTTGTTGCCTTTTCTCTTTTTTTCCTCACTCTTGGAGGTTGTGGGGTCACATTGATAACCGGAAGTCATGAATGGAAGCTCTGACAGTGTCAGGGTTTCTTCACTTTTATGTTCCTATTTTCATGCCTTAGAGCAAAACAAGTCACAGTTCCCGTTGTTAAGTACCTGCTAAGGCCCAGGCTGTGTGCCAGGCAATTTGGGCACGTGGTTCAATTTCTCCCCTTGAGTGATCCTGTTAGGAAGTAATTAGTACTTTTACAAATTCAGAAACTGGAACTCTCTATGGTTAAATGGCCCATGGTCATAAAGCTAATAAAAAGATAGGGCTAAATTTAAACTCAAACGTGCTCTTCTTCAAAGCTGGTACTTTCCCCAGTGCGACACTTCCTGTCTCCACCAGGTACATCCTATTTCACAAATGGAGGGCGTGTAACAAAGGCAGATCCACTTTCTTTTGATTAAACTCGTTTCCTTTCAGCCCTGAATTTCTATGACCAGAGATAAGAATGGTGGCCAGTATGATAGAAATGGACCGCAAAAGCCAGACGTTCAATTTAAGGATTAAGGATTCCAGTCCTTATCAGTGGCATCTCCATTTAAGCAGGTTTACAAAAACAGTTGAAGGGATAAAATAAATTTCTTCATTTTTCACTTTTAAATCTTATAAGACATTAAATCTAAGTGTGGGATCTGAAATTTTCAAAATGACTTCATTCCTACTCATCAAAGTGACAGTATAATTGCTCTTTGGTTGCTCGCCCAGACCGTGTTGTTCTCAATTGGTACAAACATGGTGTCACCTATAACAATTTTATCTGACATGGTGACTGCCCTGTTCTGGGCCAGTCATGGCTTCTAGACCTGGGTCCACCACCAAACTGTGATTTTGAGCAAACCACCTCAGGTCTGTGCTTGGAAAGAGTTTGACCAGGTCGTTTCAAGGACCCTAAAGCGAGGCTCTTCAGGGCTCTGCCACAATGCCGGTCACTCTCCCACCATGTCACCTGGCAGGCACAGTGAGAGGCCTCCTCATCTGGGTCCCTCTGTCCCATCTGTCCACAGTGGAGGCTTAGACTACTGGAAGACTCCACATCTGGTCGGTTTCACTTGTATTGATTGCCTGCCGTAGGCAGTGGCAGTTCAGTGGCACATACATTTATAACCAGATTCCAACATTTTGGGGATCAACCACTAAAAAATAGTTATATGTGAATAAAGGATATCAAAAGGTAGTATTTTCAACAGCAGGACAAGATTATCACCTCTGAACTTGGTTCCTGTTATGGCTTGTGTCTAGATGTCCCCCCAAAACCTTGTGATCATAGGTAAGGCTTTTTCAGAGGTGGCTAAATCTGGAGTGTGTAACACAGGAATTGGTTCTTGGTGCAGTGCTAGGCTCAAGAGCACTAGGATTAAGGGTGTGAGTGCTATGTGCCCTAAGCAGTGGGGATAAGATGTAAGGGATAGAAAGAGCTGTGGTCATCCCTGACCTCATTTGACAGGTCGTGTAACAAAATGCAGGCACACTAAAACATTCTATACAATTACTTGCATGCTGTGTGTTTAAGATGTAGAAGAAACAAATGAATTTCATTTCTGAACACGGATCTTCTACTCAAGAGCTCTCAAATAGCCCCAAATCTGAAAACATCTGGAATCTGAAACACTTCTCATCCCAAGCATTACAGATGAGGAATACTAATACCGTTTACCTCAAGGACCTGCAGCCCATGCTGAGAATAAGACTGACACAAACTAAGATTATATAACTGGGACTGTCTTAGTAACTTTTCTCATTGCTGAAAGAAGAACCCAACACCCAAAGTTAAAGGAGGAAAGATTTCTTTAGCTCACAGTTGGGAGAAGTTTCAATCCATAATCAGCTGGCTCCAAGGCAGGGTGCCAAGGCAGATAGGCATTGTAGGGAAACAGTTAATGGCGGGCAAAATGTAGCAAAGCAGTACCAATTTTGATATCCTTTAATCACATATAACTTTTTTTAGTTAAAAAATAATATATAGGATCTTGGTTAAAAATATATATATGATCTATAATATATGATCTTGGTTTGTGTCGGTCCTGTTCCCAGCACAGGTAGGTTGTAAGTCCTTGAGATAAACGGTATTAGTACTCCTCATGTGTGATGCTTGGGATTAGAAGTGTTTCAGATTCCAGATGTTTTCAGATTTGGGGCTGTTTGAGTAGAAGATCCATGTTCAGACATGAAATTCAGTTGTTTCCTCTACATTGTAAACACACAGCGTGCAGGTAATTGCATAGAATGTTTTAGTGTGCCTGTATTTTTTACAGACCCTGTCAAATGAGGTCAAGTGTAAATTTTCTGTTGGTGGTGTCAAATCGAAAGTTTTGGATTTTGGAGAATTTCAGATTTTGGATTTTTGGATTTGAGATACGCAGTATTAGATTTATATCTAGAACATACTTAAAGATTCAAATTATTCACGGCAGAACCCTAAGTGCGTAACCTCCCGAGCATCCCATGTTCTCATAAGATGGCAACGAAAGCAGCTTGACTTCATTTCAAGGCTGTGGCCACTGCAGTGTATCTGTACACTCAAACGCAGGTGCTGAAGCCGGCTGCCATGCTATGTAACAAATTACGAATTTCTTCATTACACAATCAAAGACAGTGAACCTATGGTTTCTCCAAGTAAACTGATGAATAGATAACCAATGGTCATCTACTGTTTTCAACACTTTTGGATACCTCCTATAATAATTTTATCATTAAACAAATTATGAATGTATTCCCAGGAATATAGAATTCATCTAAAAACATAAAAAGCACAGCCTACTAAAAGAAAAAACTACTCTTCAAGTCCCAACATGAGTATTATAGTAACACACACGCTAAGAAGACAAACCCCCAGATTACTTAATTCACAGCAAGAAGGATTAGAGCAATTCACTTGCAGTCAGTGACTTTAAAATTGATTCTTTTCTGGCTCACAGTACTGGGGATAAGAAGACTCATTTATAAGGTCATTTGAGAGCTTGCAAAGACAGGTGCTGTTAGCATCTACAGTATGATATTCTCAGAGCCCCTCATTTGTACCCATTAACTGTAACTGATCAATTCAGGAGATGCAGGGTGATTTCAAAATGAAAACTGCAATATTTATTCCTCTACATATGCCGTCATTAATTACTTATTGAAAAACCATTAAATCCTGTTAAAATAGAACAGCAAAGATAGGAGCAATAAAACAGAGAATTGATTCCAGTAAACTTGTTACTTTCTCTTCAGTGATTCAAATTATTTCTGAAAAGCTATCATGTGACATTGCCCTATATTTTACATGTTAAAATAAAAGTGACACCGTCCTCAGAAAAGTGACACGGTCCTGCTTGCAGAACAGCCGACTTAAGCAGCTGTATGGTATATGCAACTCTTGTTCTTTCCTAACCATTTTGCAAATTGGTACAGCACTGCAAATTATTCTCTGTAGTTCCTGCAAAAACCACCAGGTCTTTGGACCAAAGGGCACTGTAGTTTCTTCATTGATTTTTTTTTCCAAACCACATATATTGTATGTTACCCATAATTTCACACAACCTTTTGAACACACTCATGTAGGACAATATATATAAAGTTGTGGGTGGTGAGAGGAGCACAGAAAGGAGAGTTTTTACAGCTGGACAGACGTGACAGTGCAGAGGAAAGAAAAGTGATACGTAGGCACCAGCCCAAAGAGGAGCTGATACCGTAGTTGTGGTAGAAAAAAATAGCATGAATATGCAACAGTGG